ACACACACTCACACACACACACACACACACACACACACACACTCCAAAACAAAAACATGTCCCAGAGCAGAGGACCACACACACACTCACACCCCTGAGCTCAAAACAAAAAAAGCACAGAACTGTTACTTGTCAAATGATTAAAAGAATAGATGCACTGTTAAAAAACAGTTTCTGTTTGAATCCTGTTGATAGTTAATGTGATGATATGCAAAAATATAGTCTTTGCAAAAATAGCTCTGAGAAAAACAATTAAATTGCAAAAATTTAATTGTATTTATGTCATGACTTTTGGACGATATTAAATTATGTATTCAAACACATTTGGGGCCACTGTATTGCATTGCTATCATAAAAAGATCTCATTAATACTCATAAAGTCATGATGAAATGTAAGCGACAGATCTTTTCTTCTTTATTGTGACATACATCTTAATGAAACAGATTACTGAAAAAAAAAAAAAAGTAAGGCGGGGGGACTTATCGGAATATTGAGTTATGATATTTTGATTAAAACACAAATTTAGTCAAAACTGTTTTTTTTTAGAAATTAAATGCATGCATGAATGAATTGCTCACAATAACATGCATTAAAAATATTGTAAAGGGACATTGAAGCAGTAGAGATACATGAAAACTTATTAGTATAATATACTGTATGTAAAATTTATTTCAACCTTTTGTGACCCATGAACATAAATCCGTTTAATAATCCTGTGCAGAGCTTCTCTATCTCTATAAACAAACTCTACCAGAGACAGTAGCAGAAGCAGTGCCAGATAAAGCCGCATGAAATTGTAACCTCTATAATCAAAATATAACATAAAACTAACTATTTTAGTTTGAATACCTCAAAAGAATTACAGCTAAAACCACCGTATTACAAAAATGACACACCATCATTTGTGTGAACGCTTATAAACCAAACATTTATCCGGAGCTGATTACAGACAGATTTTCTCTGCCTGCTGTTATTTCTCAAACAATATCACAGTCCTCAGTTGAGTTTTTTCAAGTTAAAGCATTTCCCAAAATGAATTGGCAAAAATGCTCCAAGCAAGACATGAAATTGCCAAGTGTGCATTCTCACTTAAATCCCTGTTTTCAGTCGATCAGGTGGCTGTGTTGCTGCTGTTATTGGCTGCGGTTGGGTTCGCTCAGGTGCTGGACCGAACGCTCGTCCTGTCCCATGAGAGGAGCTCCATAGAGAGAACATACGAGCTGACCAAATACCTGGACCACCAGCTGAAGGAGATCAGAGACACTTACGTAAGTCACTGTGTGTGTGTGTGTGTGTGAGAGAGAGTGTGTGTGTGTGTGTGTGTGTGTGTGTGTGTGTGTGTGTGTGTGTGTGAGTGACGATAAATGGGATGCTTTTGTTTACAGATGTTTTCCTGTGGATGCTCTTCCCAGCTTTTTTATCTCCTGACTGTATAGTTTTAATTATTCATTTCTAGTATCTCCTTTTGCCTGGTGATGGTGTATAAAGACCCGTCTAACTGTTTGATAGTAGTTTTATGTACTGTGTTTACTTGCTGTTGAAACAGGACGTTGTGGAGGGACACATCCACAAAATTCACCATCTGTCTACTAAATGCACATTAAAGATCTTACTGTGATCAACTTTGGTCACACTTTTATTTTGGGGACCAGTTTACACTACTAACTACATATTTTGCCTCAATAAACTTCTAATTTGCTGCTTATTAATAGTAATGTAATTGTTAAGTTTAGATATGGGGTGGATTAAGGGATCTAAAATATGGTCTCTACATTACCATGCCAATCCCTCCGAGAGTTGTCATGACAGAAGTACTAATAAACATGCTGGTAACATGCATGCTAAGAAGCAACTAGTTAATAGTGAGAATTGGTCCCTAAAGTGTTACTGTAAATTTTTATTAAAAAATCAAAGCTGGATCTTCCAGTAAAATGACAAGAGTTCTCTCTGGTGACGTACGCAGAACTTCTCCGATCATTTAGTGTGCTTGAACTCCTGAAAACTCACGCTTATGTGCCTCCACTTTGAGTGAAAGGCCCACATTTAAAAATCCAATCGACTGATACGTAAAGCCAAGTTCCTGATCGAATAATCTGTTGCATTCGGATGTCACAATACAGAAACAAAAATCTGTTGCTTCTTCCTTTGCATTGTGACTTTAAAGAAATAGTTCCACCCAAAAATGAACATTCTGTCATCGTTTGCTCACTCTCATGAAGTTTCAAACCCGTATGATTTTCTTTCTTCTGCGGAACGTGACTGAAGATATTCTGAAGCATGTTGGCAACCAAACAGTTTTTGGTTACCATTTATTTTCCATTGTCTTCTTCATGTCCCACAAAAGAAACTAAGTCATTCAGGTTAGGCTCAAGATGAGAGTGAGTAAACGATGACAGAATGTTCATTTTTGGGTGGAACTATCCCAAACAGCCCAACAAAAGGAACAAACAACCATCTCCTAATCTGCAACTTTCTCATCAGAGGCAGATGCATTTAATATTTAAAAGGACATTCTTAGTCGAGTATGGAAGCTTGTTTCCACCACTGAATAAAAAAAAAAAAAGGTAATTCCGAATTGTATCTCACAATTCTGACTTTTTTTTCTTGCAGTCGCAGTTTGCATCTCACAATTCTTACTTTTTTCTCAGAATTGCGTGATATAAACTTATTGCGAGTTATAAAGTCAGAATTGCATGATATAAAACTCACAAATTTAGAATTTTCTTCTCGCAATTCAAAGTTTATCTCTGACTTCTTTTCTCAGAATTGTGAGATATGAACTCGCAATTGAGTTCTAAAGTCTAATTCTGAGGGAAAAAAGACTTTCTTACATTTGTGAGTTTATATCACACAATTCTGACTTTGTAACTCACAATTGCAAGTTTATATCTCACAATTTTGAGAAAAAAGTCAGAGTTATGAGTTTATATCATGTAATTCTGAGAAGAAAAGTCAGAATTGCTACATGTAAACTAGCAATTGCAAGAAAAAGTCAGAATTGTGAGATAAAAAGTCACAATTACCTTTATTTTTTATTTTATCCATAGTCTATAAAGCAGTTTACTTAAAAAAAAATTTTTTTTAAAAAGTATATATTTACATTTATTTAGTCAACTTTTGTGAGATATGAACTCGCAATTGAGTTCTAAAGTCTAATTCTGAGGGAAAAAAGACTTTCTTACATTTGTGAGTTTATATCACACAATTCTGACTTTGTAACTCACAATTGCAAGTTTATATCTCACAATTTTGAGAAAAAAGTCAGAATTATGAGTTTATATCATGTAATTCTGAGAAGAAAAGTCAGAATTGCTACATGTAAACTAGCAATTGCAAGAAAAAGTCAGAATTGTGAGATAAAAAGTCACAATTACCTTTATTTTTTATTTTATCCATAGTCTATAAAGCAGTTTACTTAAAAAAAAATTTTTTTTAAAAAGTATATATTTACATTTATTTAGTCAACTTTTAGGAGTACAGTCTTAAATATAAAGCTTCCAAAAGGGGTTTTTGTAGAGATGCAATAGAAGAACATTTTTGGTTTTCCAAAGAACCTTTCAATGAACAGTTTTTGAAAGAATAGTGTGAAGAACATTTCATTAATCTGAATAACTTTTTTCCACTATAAAGAAGCTTTTGTGCAATGGAAAGATTCCATGGATGTGAAAGGTTCTTCACGAAACCATTCAACAATCTTCAAAACATCTTTTTTGGTGTTCAGCCTAAGAAAGAAACTCAAACAGGTTTGGAACAAGCGGAGGATGAATAAATGAGGACAGAATTTTCATTTCTGTGTGAACTGGCCCTTTAAGAGTGCTCTAGAACAGTGGTTTTCAGCCCCTAAACACTACACAGTTTGCATGTCTGCTTTGACCCGTTTCAGGTCTTGGAGTCTCTGCTAATGAGCCGATGACCTGAATCAGATGTGTTTGATTAAGGAGACATGCAAAACATGCAGTGCTGGGGGTGCTCCAGGAATGGGACTAAAATAAAGATGAAAAAACTCCAATTTTGATTTTAAAGGGATAGTTCACCCAAAAATGAAAATTCTGTCATTAATTAGTCACCCTCATGTCGTTCCAAACCCGTAAGACCTCCGTTCATCTTCGGAACGCAAATTAAGATATTTTTGATGAAATCCAAGAGCTCTCTGACTCTCCCATAGACAGCAAGGTAACTACCACGATCAACGTCCAGAAACATAGCAAGGAGATCGTTAAAATAATAAATGTGACATCAGGGGTTCAACCGTAATTTTACGAAGCTACGAGAATACTTTTTGTACGCAAAGAAAACAAAAATAACGACTTTATTCCACATTTTCGTCTCTACTGCGTCACTTTGGACACG